CCCCCCCTCATATATTTCTTATCTTTAGTTCAACCAGTCACTCCTAAAACCCTAAAATAATCCCAACCCTACCATCTTCGATCTCTAACATCAAACCCTAATCCATGGCCAAAAAGAAAGCAAACCCACAATCCGAAGATAACAAACCTCCCAAAACCCAACATCAAATCCCTCCTCAAACCGTGGATGATGCCGCTTCTGAGAAACTCCACAGCTTGAAATCACTCAACGCCATGTTGCTAAAAGAGACAGTCGAGCGCCGCCAACAGGTTGATTCGTTAACCCAGGTGAACGGTTCTCTGGAATCTGAGCTGAATCGGTGTAAGTCTGACAAGGTTTCTCTGCAGTCCGAGTTGAATGGGGTAACCGAACGAGCGGTGATGTTGGAGATCGAGGCCGGATTAGTGTCCAGGTTTGTTGCGGTGCAGGTGAATCATATGGCGGAGGTTAGTCGCAGGGAGAGGACAGCAATGGAGGAGAAAATCTGTGGTATGGAGAGAGATATAAGTCGGGTTTTGGAGGAGAAAAATGGGATCGAGATGGTGAAGAACAGGAAGGAATCAGAGATTGGTTCTCTGAACACCAGATTAAAGACACTTGTAGCTGAGATTGGTGAAGAGAAATTCGTTTTGTCGAAGGTTTGCGAGGAAAGAGATGAAATCAGGGCACAGCTGGATGATCAAATTCAACACGAAAATGGGTTGAGATCGAAACTAGCTGAAGCTGAGAAGAGGGAGGCAGTGATTCTGGAGAAATCCCAGAAACTTAAGGTTGATTATAGTGGTTTAGTTGAAGAAAAGACTTGTGCGGAAAGAAAGGTGGACTCGCTTCTGAGAGAAAAAGATTCGATCGCTAGAAGTTTGGTTGAATCAAATGGGTTGGTCGATGATCTGAAGCGAGACATACAGAAGATTGTTAAAGAGAAGATGGTGATAGAAGATGAGAGAAATGTGCTAGAGAGAATGATAAACGATATGCAAATTTCGGTTAAAGGGCTGAACCAATTAGTGCACAGTCTTCAAAAAGGGGAAGAACGATTGCTTGAGAAAATTGCTGATTTGGAGAAGAAATGTGTTATGATATCAGAAGAGGAGGCAAAAATGAGTATGGAGATTGATCTTTTAGTGAAAGAAAAACAAGAAACTGAAAGTACCATCCGAAACTTAACTGAAGAGAAGAGTTTGGTTATAAAAGATTTGAAGGAGACTTCAAATATCTTAGAACACCAGAAACTTACAATCGATCAAATGGTCGAAGAGAAGATGAAGATCATTGATGCCAAGGATCAAGGAGAAAAAAATATCCTTCAGATGAAAGAACAATTCGAGAACAAGATTCTAGCACTCGAAAAGTCGAGCATAGTTCAAATTGATAAGCTGAAAAAATTAGAGTCTGAAGTTAGCCACTACAGATCAGCATTGGATCAAGCCACAACCGAAGGGAACAAGACTCGATCCAATCTTGATGATGAAAAACTCAAAGTGAAGAATCTGAGTGAAGAACTTTCAAAGATGGAAAAAGGTATAGAAGAAATCTGCAAGAAGTTGTCCAAGATGACAGCAGACACCGAGAAGCTGGTTGCAGAGAAGCACGAGTTGGAGATGGCCCGTGCAGCATTAGCAAAAGACATTCTTGTGGTTGAGAAATCGCTTGTCAAAACCCGAAAGGAACATGATGAGACGAAAGCTAAACTAGAACGATCAGAAGCCAACTCTAGCAGAATCTTGAAAATCTTGAAGAAATGTAACTCGAATGAAGACGATAAGATGCAAGAAACTGAAATCGGAGATGATATGAAATATCATATAACAGAAGTTGAAGCAATCAAGAAATGTTTGAAGGATAGAGAGAATGTTGTTCAAGAACTGAAGAAGCAAATGGAGTTGCTTAAAATATGTGTGGCAAAAGCTGATAAGGGGAAGAGCTTCTGGACGATGGTGTCGTCTGCAACAACACTATTAGCAGCTGCTGCTGTTTCTTTGGCGTATGTTGGCGGAGGTCATTAATCTTAACAGGTTAACATCCTAATTTAATTAATGTTGTTAAGTTAATCACTTGATTTAGCTGCTTAAATCTGTGTTCTTGATTAAATAATCTTATGCTTTTGATCTCAGTATTGTAGGATTACTTAAATGTCTAATGTCGAATTTTGCTACAAGTTTTCAGCTTTATGGCTCTTTACGAATCCTGATATTGTATCGATCTCAGTATTATTATTATCTTACTTGCGAAATTATGTCTTTTTTTAATTAAAATGGAAACAATATTTTAATTTCTATTCTAAGAATACATGCTTTTGACCAAAGTTTACATTTAGGTGCCGTTTATCAAACGGTTAATAAATACTAAGTCACATTACCTTATCGGATGAATATGGTAAAGATCAAGAATCTTACATGGTAAGAGCGAGACAATGACCAAAAGTCTTACCCGGTAAGTGAGGGCGACGACTCTTACCACGGTAAGAGTTTACCGAGTAAATTGTTGCATATGATACTGTTTTGGTGGATTAAAATCTTACTCGATAAGTAAATGATAGAATTAAATTTTATCGACAAACTCTTACCGGATTAGAGTTCGATAAACAGCCCCTTAATTTCTGGTCTGCTAATAATGATGACATGTTCAATTATTATATCAACTAAAATTTGATTATAATCCTACAGTTTCTATGTCTATTATTATTAAATAAATAAATTCTTTTTCCTCTCTTTATTACCCCTATCATTTATAAATACATTTACTTTCTTTTTATAAAGTATCATATCTAAAAAAGTTACAATAAGTTTATAGAACGTTTTTAGACGTTCCAAAAAGTGTTTTAGAACGATCTTTAAATAAAATGTTGTAATAGTTATTTTATAGAATTTTTTTTAGAAGTGTTCTGTAAACTCATCTATTTATAGGACACCTATGTTCATATGACATTTTTTCAGGTCGTGTCATATAAAATAGTTAATACGACACTTTATTTTAAAATCGTCAAAGAATATGTTAAGACGTCCAAAATCATCATATAAACATATTGCAGCTTTTTTAGATAAGACAATTTTCTTGTTTCGTTCTATAAAGTATCATATTAGGACGCTTAGACATTTTAGGCATCTTGTAAGATATAATATTGTTGTAGTGAAATGCTATAACTATGCATTTTCTTTCCACTAAGTACAACATAGAATGATGGGGTATTTAGATTGATGGATTCGTCCATCAAATATATCTATCATTCATATTTTTCAACATATCAATTTGTTGTTGATGTAAAAAAAATTCAATAATTTTCCTTATTAATTAGATTATTTGTCATCATTGTTTGATCGTGAATCTCTTTTGGTAACCTATACGTTTATGTAAAATGAAACAAAACATAATATCAATAAAAATTATATAAAATTTATACATTACTAATCTATACTATATTATAAAGCATTTGGCTAAAACTCTTAAAAACTCTTAAACCATATTTCATCCCTATCCGATTTTATCCCATATCTGAATTCGTTTAACCAACTGCAGATAAACACAATCAAATACATGATATACATCTAATTTAAATATAAAAAATCTAAAATATAATTAGGATAATCATTGAGTTCTAATATAATACTTCATTATTATCTTTATAAAATGTTATGTTATTCAATCAAAAATAAATTATTTCATTATTAAACTTAAACTAAATTATAAAAAAAAATAATCTATACTATATTATAAAGCATTTGACAAAAACTCTTAAAAACTACTTTTTATGCGCAAAATACTGTTTATTAATGCATATTACTTAAAACTCAAGATTACAAGTAGATTGTGCGTAAGAATTAAAGCTCCATATCTGAATTCGTGTAACTAATTGC